AGTTAGAATAGAGAGTAGGAGAGGAGATAAACCCGATTCAGGTGAGATGTTACTGACAGGTATATTTGAATTATTGTCATTAAATACTTATTAGGAGGAAGCTTTAAAGTGACGATAATTCATTGATAATCAATTGATGTTAGATTAAAAATTGGATGATATATTAGATCCTTTATAAAGTAAGGATTGAGTTTGATAGTCTCCTAATCTTTCGTGTATTATTATCGTTGTTCCACTTTCGCGGTTAGCGAGGAGACATTCTCTTACTATTATGAATTGAATTTGTGTCGTTTTGTTGTGTGATAAATAAATAGATCGATTGTATCATAGCGAGTGTTTCTTCCCTACCTCCCACATATCTAGGTGCCCAAGAAAGAGGTGTTAACCTCTCAAACGATAGAAACGCTCTTTAGAAAACCGTGAAAAAAATTCCTGTAAAAAATAAATACGGCATATGGTAAATTTGTGCATAGGTTCCACAACTTTAAAAAATGACGTAAGGTGAAAAAACTCTGAATATTTTCGCAAAACCCCCGTGCAAAAACCAAAAGTAACAATGCAATCATGTTGTAGGTTTATAAAACAAAACAAAACAATTATTAAAAAATTAAAGTTACCAAGAGTTAAAATTCAATCTGGATCTAAATCAACCGATAGGAAGCCATCGTGACTAATAGGGTCAACTGAAGGAGGCTCAACGAGTCAGCCTTGGATTGAAAAGGCTGTTGAGTTTATGAAGAAAAATCCTACACCGAAGTATTGAAACATATTAAACCAATAAGGTTACTATTATAAAAGCTTTTTTCATTTTAATCTTAATATGTTAGAAATCAAAAATAGAGATGAATCAGATCAAGCCTTGACAAAATTTAATTCTTAAATATATGAAGCATTTTAATTAAGTTATTAAAATTGCATGACTATCTTCGCGTTGTTTCGTATCCCAGATAGTGTACCTTATATACATAGCTACAACATATCCATAAAACCGAAAATCAGAAAAAAGTTCAAAAATAAAATAAAATTCCCTAAGATTTCGTCTACGGTAAAATTCAAGCCTTTAAGAATATGAACGGGTGAGACCTAATAAGACTTGTACCAATCATAATCTAGAAAGACTTTCCGGCCCTGTTGAAAAGTAAGAGACTTGATGTGGCCACTAAAAAAGCGTAATATAGTACCCTCTACTAATTCATATAAATACTGAACTGGTGACACCAAAGGAATCTTGTTCCAAAATACCAAGGGTGAGCAGGGGATACTCTCTAAAGTACATTAAATTCTATCCTTGTAAGGTATCCGACTACGTTCGGAACCGCGATTTTGCAAAAGCGTATAAATGGATAATATTTATGATATTTAGTGTTATTTAGATTGCAAAATGTATATAAAATTGTTTTTCACTTCTATTATAGTAATATTTTGCCTGTGTATAGCTCAGAACTCTGTACAGAGGCTCAACTAGAATTTTCGAAATATATAACATAGAAGTGGGTTTATCTATGTTTTACGACAACAGAGGGAAAACATTTTAAGAAAAAAACGCCCATAATTATTTCAAATGGTTGTAACTCTGAAAATAATGTGAACTTTTCAAAAATCATAGTTGAGCTATCTGCTATATAGCTATATAGGCTATATAGAGGCAAAATTATTATTATAACAGAAGTATTTTTCACAAAAGGAGAACATTTTGAAACAAGGATATTCTAAGTTAATTTTTTGCCGAAATATTGTATTTAAATAATTTTTTTTGACAAAATCTCCTTAAAACAATTTTATATATGTATTCTATTCTAAGTGACACTAAATATCTTATCCATTTATGCGCTTTTTTAAAATCACGGTTTCAAACGTAGTCGGATACCTTAATGGAGAAATGTTCCCTAAAAGCTAGACAAGCGTTTTCCTACAAGGTGTCAGCAGTGGCAGACTTGGTCAAACTATTCGTTATCTTGTTACTGTTGTCCAATTTGGAAACATATAGAGTCCTATCAAATGTCCTATAGATGTCCTATTGAAAATATATATAGTGTCTAGAGTAGGTATGGCGAACCACTGACATTTTATTTCAAAATAACGGTTCATTATGAAGTATTACGAACAAACGCGGTGCGGCTTTGAGAACACACGTTCGTTATTGTCTTGCCTTTGTTACATCGTGGACTACAATTGCCTATGATGTAAAGCTTGTCTACGCATAGCACAGTCAATTTCATCAGCACAACTGCATTTTAAAGTTTATTTGTGTTATATTTACGATGTTTAAGTGTTATTTAACAAGAATAGTTCAGCAAAAGAATTAAAAGGGCAAGATAGTAAGTGTACCACAGAATTTCAAATTTGGTGAATTTAGAAATATAGCATTATTAGTAAAGGCGACAAAGCGGTGTTTTTTTTTGTTCTGAAATAGTGGTATGCAGAACATCGTCGGTATAACGTATTTCGAAACAAATCGCAAATCCTCTTGTCAAAAAAGTGAAAATAATTAATTGGTTAAAAACCGTTTGACAGATGACTCCAATTGAGCATGCCATTTTATTAAAAGTAACATCTTACAATCCTAATATAAGTACTTTTTGCGTCATTCAAACTACAACAGGACACACACTAATGTTACTTTAATTTGAATTACACGTATAACTAAAAAAGTTTACATCTATACAGTGTAATATGTACTTTTCTGTAGTAAAATAAGAGTTTTGTGTTCTCTTATAGTATTTAGTTTTATTATTTTCCCAATAATCACAGGTCAAAATTATTTGACGGCACGTCTATACCTCATTAAAAACTTCTTCAGAAAAAATGGTACGTTGATCCATAAAAGTTCGCCACCCCTGGTCTGGAAGATAGTAGAACCAAAAAATCCAGAATATTTAGGCATGTCATATCCCCAACAGTTGTTCAATGAGAAAGGTGCTGTATAGAAGCATGGCTGTCCCCGAAGACCCGTTCAGAAGTCGTGTCAATGAATTGCAGCCCCTTACAGATAGCAATAAGTTTCAATATAAGAACAGAACTAAACATATTATTACTAATTATGATAAACTTGAATACCCAGAGCCATTCGTGGTAGAAAATTTATTTTTTAATTAAAAAAATACTTTTTTTCGAAAGATAATATCTCAAAATGTGTTGTGAATTCAAGTGTAGCACTTATAAAATATGAAGATAGTCTTATTTCAAATACAACATAATCTGATGAAAGTATTTCGGAATTTGATTTTAACTTTCACAAAAATTTATTTTTATCAGAATTAAACATTATATTCCACAATAACTTTATAAGAAATGTAATACAATGCTTAAGGAATTTATGAACAATGGTAAAGTCATTTTTATTTGTTTGAGAATTTTTTAAGACGGCATTTCTGAAACTGTGGGGCACGGCCCCATAGGGGGGCGTAATATCACTGTAAGGGGGGGCGAGCTTATTGAAAAATCGAAAGTAAAACATTTAAAATAAGTATTGATTTACTGAAAGGAAGTGAAACAAAATTCATTCTGACATAATAAAAATTAAATGCCCATTTACACTTATATAATATACTTATAAACGTATCAGTACTTCACAAAGTTTTTCACAGTTAATTTATCAATATTAAATTAAAAACAAGTTTAATAATTGCTAATGGGTTTCTCATTTGCAAAATGTACTTCTTTTTTTTAATGGTTTGTATAGTTTATAATTAATGTTGTATTGTAGCTTTAACGTTTTTATTGGGTTCACAATGCGTAAATATTGTATGGGGGAAGGCACGATGAAAATTATGATTGAAAATTGGGTCGAGGTTATTGAAAGTTTGAGAAGCACTGTCTTAAGAGGAACATGTTAAATAATTTTCAAGTTACGAAAATTTTAATATCATAAATGTACTTATATGACGTTATAAAATTCAAAAATATTTTTATTCAATGTTTCTAAGGATTAATACACTTGAGAACACGAGGAAAAATTTTAATTAATTTTTATAAACAATAGCCCACAGCACACATTTTTAAATGTTTCATATATATAAACAATATATATATATATATATTCCCTTAAGCATGTCTAAATATTAAAAAGAGATTTTATCTATCTATCTATCTATCTATCTATCTATCTATCTATCTATCTATCTATCTATCTATCTATCTATCTATCTATATATATATATATATATAATAAATATTTTTAGTTCATTTAACCTTTCTTTTGCTTTAAATAATTTTGGGTCTTAGCTCTTCAGGACATCGTGTTAAAAGTTTTAAGAAATTCGCACCTTTTCCAATAACTGCACTTGTAACTAGCGTGTTCCGAAACATTTCCCGAAGTGATGTCACCAGCCAATCAAGTGACTTGGAAAGTTCTAGAACTTTCATTTTTTCAATGCGGTGTTCGAAGTTGCTGAAAAAAGGGATTGGGTGCACCGCCTGAGGTAGTAGATTGTATACAGCAGTTATTTGTCTTTTATTGTATGTCTTTGTGTTTTGTTCTAACGATGCTTCATTTTTGTTATATGTGTGTTAGGCAATAAAAAAGGTAAAATTGAAAAGAAGTCTACTTTATTTACGCCAACTTCCACCATTCTTATCGCGCAGATTTCTTTAAGAGCAAACTTCAAAATTTAAACCATTTTCAAGTTAACCCGGGAGACGTCACGCGGGACACAGAGTCACCCCAGGCTCACAAAATCTTAAATTCTGGGAAAACTGTTTATTTTCTATCAATGACCTTGTCAGTACCCTCCACGACAGTCTTCATGGGAACTAAAATGTATTTGTCCCATATGTACCTCTTTTTTTGGCAGTGGCAAACGTTTTTTTTTTTTTTTTTACAATCTTAATGTACTTGGAGGGGGGGGACTGAGTTTTCCGCTTGACCGTTTTTGTTTGAAAATATTTTCTATGAACAGGCTACATTTTTTCCCACTGTGAATGATTTAGTGATTTTGATTGCTGTGTTGTACGACTCATTAAGGTTTACAAACGTAAATGAACAGAATATAAGCCACCCAGCCAGTTTGGTGGATATGACCCTCGTTTTGTAACCGAGTGGGTTCGGGTTAGAATCCCGAGTAAGGCATAGATGTATTTTCTTCGGCAAAAAATGTCGGATTTTCGCCTGTAATGGATTCTCATTTTGAATGGAAAGCAGCGCACCCACTTCCCCTAATATCTGTGATCAGTAGTTTCTCAGAAAAGGTATATCGAACATTAAAATTTATATTTTGAGATAAATTGATTTTAATGTATACAGCGAGGTTTATAATCAGCTTGGAAATAAAAAAAAATAAATAACTCATTTTACAATAAAAGATACATGTTTAGGTTTATATCAGATGGTCAACTTTTAAGCAATTAATTGATTGATTGAATATTAACGTCACCCTGTTCAGCTACACGAGGGCTTTTGCCGACGGACCACGTAATTTCGAATCATGTTCAAATGACGTGGACGACGCCTGAGCTGGCAACATCCTCTCCTTATTATCACACCCCACTAACGGAATGACGTTTGAGCTCTCGTCAGATTTAACTTGGTACTGGGCTCGAACTCGTGACAAGGACAGCCACGATCCGATACCTTGACCACTCGGCTACCGCGGACCACCTTCTGTTATATGCTGGGATCATCATTTGTAATAAATATCTATACTCTTCTGTTTGTATTGTATGTTTCTGTCCTTCCACTTGTATTTCATATGTATCCCAGGATAAAAACACCCGACAGCAACAGAACATAATAAAAAACAGAAATTGGCATCTGTGATCTCTATTAGTGTTACAACTTCAACTTCCATTTCTTCCCAAAATCGGTAACTGAATTGTTAGCTGTAACTGAATATGTTTATCTTTGTAATACAGAGAATGTAAAATCGAACGCTTGAAGCAATTGCTTCCAATGTTTCCTGCTGTAGTTTTAATTGCATTAACTATGTAAGCTTTTCTCTATTTAATCTTCAATTGTAATTTAAATGACTTAAATATTATTAACTATGAATACAGACTCATCAATGATTACGAGTATGCGTAATTCAGCTCGATTCAGGAAATGGGATTGCTCTAACCCAATCGACTTCGAGGCTAGCTGCAAAGAAAAGGTAAGCTTTTACCTTAATTTTGTTAGATATAGGCTTGGTAGTTAGATATCAAATATTTGCAATTAATAATTATCCTCTCTTTAGTATCGCTATCTATCAGAATCTCTTTCAACCAATCGTTGTAAGATTCCCAAAGCACCCATAGAATCTTGAGAATAATTAATTATTGGGCCGTTGTTCTTTCATAAGTCTCGGTGAACCTGATATTTATCAAGATTCACTTCCGTTCTTCGATCCATTTGATCCTATTTCTATGCTGAGTTAGGGTTCAAGTGGAATCTAATACTAATACTATATAAGTGGACCTAATACAAAATCGCTAGATCTCTCACAGTATGATATATCAACTGATGCAACTTGCTTTTTAGTTAGCTTGAAAAAGTTATTTCTAGGAATTTGTTAATTAAAAATACTATTAGAAAGAAAAACCATATTTCAAGATTTCTGCTTAAGGTTTCTGTTTACCTTGAAAATGTCGTTTTTCGTCTACATAAAGTATTTTTTATTTCAAAATCTTATAGTTTGAACATTTTTCTTTCCAAAACAGTTTTTTTTCCTTTACGCGAAATAGAAATTAAGTTTTAATGATTGCAAGAAACATCACTCTATGCAAAAGGCAGTAAGATAAAACCTTAAATGAGTTTTTCTCAGAATAATGATTTCGAAAGAAACTCTTTACCAGATACATGATATCTTAAGAGCCAAACCATATAATGTTTTGAATTTTTGTGGGATGGTTTATTATACTATATTTGTCATAAAGCGGATCATAAGTGTTGTTGTAGGTTAAATATTTTCTCATTTAGGGTAGTTTTTATAAAGAAAAAAAATTAAAAAAATATTAAAATTTTCATATTATTATGTATAATTGTTTGTAATTCTTTTGTATTTTAATCTTTCTCTTAGATATTGGTTCATTTTGAAGAGCACCATAGTATGTATGTTGCGTATAAAAAATTATTATAATTGTAATTAGAGTGTTACCCGTTTCAGTAAAATTTCCTTGAAAACAACACATTTTTCTAAAAGTACTATATTTATTTAAAGTTTTATATATATTTGCATATTGAAAAAAAAATTTTCTCCTAAAAATACTTAATTTGTTTCAAAAATTTGTTTTTATAAAAAAATTAGGTCCGAAGTTAGGCAGTCACCTTAAAGTGCGGAGGTCTCCACCAAATGACTGACTTCCTGTTAAGGAACTAATGACTTTCCAATGATCACGTAGTTTTGCGTGGGAACGTACCCAAGACAGGACAATACCGAAGCTTAAGTTTGAAGGCAAGTCAACCGTTGACCTCTCTTTGGTGGAACCAACAGAGAATTGACCGTCGTAGTTATCACGCTAATCTCTTGTTTCAAAGTCCACTGCACGAATGGGTGACAAGAATCAATGACCGAGAATGGCAATCCCGGCTACTTCTAAACACAAATAATTCTGCATCACATATTTCTATTAAAGGCGTGACCTATTCGACCTTTAAAGGGCCACGGAAAAGAGAAGCACATACTCCAAGACACACTCCTAGATATTTCCAGCATAACTATCAGATAACTCAGATAACCTAGATTTCCCAGATAACTGCCCATGACTTGCTACCAGATTTGCTTGTAAGGTCTAGCATCAAGGATGACTATCACACGGCTCTAGATAACAAGCATGATAAACCTTACAAAGCCTTCACGTCTGTGTTTCGGCCTGTAAAATCTTCTGAACTCCGTGAAATGCCAGAGGGTTGCATAAGTGATGAAGAGAAAACGCATTAATGCATTTTCAAGTACAAGCTCTTACTTCATTTATTTCATGATAACTTCTTTCATATGTAGTTGCTTACAGTCTTCACAGTTATGGCTGAACAAGTGTAATATAAAAAACAATTTTTAAAGTCAATTCCTACTTAGGTCAACAAAGAAAAATTTTATTTTAACAACTTTTTATTAAATAGTTACAATTAATATAAATATGTATATGCATATGACAAAATCACAACATTAAGTGGTAATTAATTTTATTAATTATCATTAAAGTATCGTATTGTCATCCAAAACAATCGTGTATATAAAATTTCAGTTCAACTGAATGCTTTAAAACGTGAGAAAAAAAATCTTTTAAAGTTTTGACTCAAGTCGCTAAGAGAAACCAACGTGGCTGTATTTGTAAGTTTCAGTCAATTAATTTTAATAATAATTAAATTATCGTATTTTTAACCCAAAGAATAGTGTATAGAAAATTTCAGCTCAAATGTGCGCTTTAAAATGTGAGATAAAAATCCTTTTCGAGTTTTGACACAAATCGCCAAAAGGATCGCTAAATCGCCAAAAATGATATGTCAACGTGTCTGTATTTGTAATTCTTTGACTAGTTAGTTTTAATCAATTAATTTGTATTAATTATAATTAAATTACTGTATTGTCATTCAAAATAATCATGTATATAAAATTTTAGCCCAATTGAGCTCTTTAAAATATATTTTAATAAAAAATTCCACCAGAGAGTATCTTTATAGAGAGTGTGAGCTAATAGTAAGAATTGAAAAAGTAATGGTACACAAGGTGCTACAAATCTAACTAGGAGAAACAACAACATAAGTTTAACATTTATCTTTTGCATGTACTTGTCTTATATCTTGGGATACATAGAATCTTCAGATATCCAGAACGAGAAAAATTTATTATCGCATACAACACTTACTGATTTTTTTAGCTTGAAAGAATGCCTTTAAAAGCACAACCCCACGATTTTCTAGGAAAGTTACAGATCAATAAGAAACGTTGAAATATATAATTTTCAACGAATAGCTCAGTAGGATCATATGTATTTCCTTTCTAAGGGATAATGAGTTTAAATCTTCGTGAATCTCCTGCATCAAAAAACATTTGAACAAGATCTTCTGAAGCATTTTTTTGGAAGGGAGAAAAAACGGTTGGAATGTAAATAAGCTCAGGTGAAAAGAAATTTAAAGAAGAGTTAGAAAGTGTTCAAGGTGATGATCTTTTCCCAGTTCTTAGATGTAGGGTATGGTAAATAAAGTATAGCATCCCTTGTGTGGCTGTATTTGTTAGAAATTACCAAGAAAGGTATTACAAGAGAAATATGCTATTTGGAGGTCAAATGAGGAGGTTTCTTATGTTTTATTGCTTGTGCCTTTGCTATTATTTTTTTAAGACATGTCTAGAAAGTATAAAATTTTAATGTTCTATTATGTCAATTATACACTTACTCATCGAAATAACAATATTTTTAATACAGACTTGATTTTTTTATTGTAATTAAAATCTCAATTTGAAAAAAACACTAGGGAAAAAGGCAACGATCCTGGTAGCGCTGAAGCACGGTTAAGAGACGAGAGAATGTACCTGAATTTGTACCCTAATCACTACTCCTAGCTTCCATACAACACCAACGTGAGGACTTATTTACGACAGATTAAGCGTGAATCAGTTATTTTACACAGCAGGTTTTTAGATATCTTAGGCCACGAATCATAAATCGACAAACTCAGTCAAGAGTCCATGACAATGACCATTCGGCTTTGTGGCCTATTATATACTGACAAAATATTTTTAGACTGAAAAGTTTGATCTAATGTATAGGTCTATCTTGAGTTCAGAGATTATGTTTTAACGTTGTTATAGATGAACCGAAGAACTGAATGTATTGAAAGTATGTTTTGCTTTACATGTATAATGTGTTTTAATTATATATATATAATCCAAAACATAAAAATACTCAGATAGTTAGAACCTAAGATAACTATACTAAATAGGAAGAAATAGGCAAAGTACACTCATGTCCATAAATTAAGGATAATTCAGAATCACACATAAATTGAATTCTAAAATAAAAAATTCTCCTGTGTAGAATTATCACACACATCTTGAAGAAGAATATGCAAATTACAGGAAACCACCAGATGGCGCGGATAGTACGTCACAATGACGAGAGTGTAAGAGAGGGGTATATAAGGAATGGTGGCAAAGA